TTCAAAATTTATGGATCTCGAGCGCAAGATTTAAAAGAAAACACGCCAGTTTCAGAGTTTTGTTGTTGCAATTAATGGCAGCAATTGCAACGACAAAAAATCACTCTTTGTTCGCAAGGTGGAGTATCAAGTGAGAGAGTTACCTTTTCCGCAGCACCCCAAATTGAGTTTAATGTTGTTTCTTTCATTGAAGACTGAGCTGAAGAAGATGAAGGTAGGTCAACTGTTGAACAGCTGGCTTTATTCTTCTCAGTAAAGAAGGAAACCTGAGGCATTTCATCCTCGCTGTGATGAGTTTTATTTACCTGTAGTAATAATTAAAAAAAAAACAGTCAAGGCATACAATTGTATTTTTCGTCCATGAACAATGATGGACAAAGTTTGTAATTTAAAATAACAAATGTACGCACATGCTTTTAAAATATGTAGTTTTTGAAGAGCCAAATTCAAATATTGGATTAATTTTTTATTTTATCAAAAGAAATTTTTTTTATGTCCAAGCTTACCAACATTTTTGCCCAACATTTCAGTTTAAAGTCCGCTAATGTTCCTCCGTGTTTTTATCGCAGTCACGCGAGTCTGTTTTTGTAGGAGTCATGGTCGTCCTCTTCCATACTGTCACCGCTGTCGATAGTGTCGTCTGAATGAAAAACAAAAAAGGAGGACATTGTTTCCATTAAACATTGAGTAATTTTGTAACAAGCGGGAAAGACAGGCAATATGGTTTTCCATTCATACCTGAATTTCTCTTCCTCTTTGCTTTACCGGCTTCCCTTCTTTCTATCTCGCCCTGTTTTCGTTTGAAGGAACTGTGTGGATCCACCCATAGGGTGATCCATCCATTCTTAACACTTCTGTAGGCGTTGTCCGACTGTTTTTCTGTTTTGATGTCACATTTTCGGCACCCATCACTCATGTAGCCGATAGTTAGTGACGTGCAATTAGAAGCGGGACTTAATTCTTCTGAATAATTTTCAAATAAATATTGCTTTAGTTCATTGACGGGTATGAACTTAGGCAAATATCGGATTGAATATCGCTCAAATTGGCCCTTGTTGGCCAGCTTAGACAGTTTTAGGAAAGCTTGAACCGTTTCCATCACTGACCATGTGCAACTAATTTTGGTTATCAACCGTGGCACGAGAATAGAATATTATGCAAATAAATTTAATACACTTATACCCATAAAGCCATTGGGTCTCATCGTTCACAGTTTATGCTTTCAAGGTGTCAACGTTTTTGCAATCAGGTGTATATTTGCAACAAGTTGAACAATGACAGTACTTTACAATCTAGAACAAGCCTTACTACCGATGACATCATTTCTCTATTGGACTTCACTCTCTCCAACAACTATTTTGTCTACAGTAACTGTATATACAAGCAAGTCCATGGATGTGCCATGGGCAGCCCTGTAAGCCCTATCATCGCTAATCTTTGCATGGAGGTAGTTGAAGAAATTAGCTATCAATACCTCTACAGTTGCACCAAGGGTTTGGAAACGATATGTTGACGACAGCTTTGTTATCATCAAGAAAGATGCTGTCTCCTTCCATGACACCTTAAACTCCATTGATCCCAAAATCGCTTTTACTATCGAAGAAGAAAACAATGGTCAAATCTCTTTCCTGGACACGCTTGTTTCCAGGAAAAATGGTGTTACTAGCATTGATGTTTACAGGAAGCCGAGATATTTGGATTTTTCTTCACATCATGAATTAAAACATGGAAAGTAGCTTGGGCAAATATCTCAGTTGTTGTGGCTTTCTTCTGTTTCACTTCTTCGGTAGTAGGTCCCCCAGATAATATGTCATCCACATATAGCTCACGCTCAATCTCTTCCACGCACTTGGGATGTTCATCTCGGCAAGTGTTCAGATGCTGTTGGATCACACCTCCTAGCAGGAAAGGCGAGGGTCCTAAGCCAAAGAGTGCTCTAGTGAATCTGTAAGTCCGAATTTACTGTGGATCTTTAGCTTCTAAGGCCCGGTTCAAACGTCGAACTTTACATGTGCCGAACCTAATAGCAATTCGGGTCGACTCGAATAATTAGGTTCGGCAGTTGATTCAAACGTCGAACCTAAATATGTCGAACTTAATTGAGAAACTGAACAAGACTCTACTGCGGTCAGCGGTTATTGCTTACCAAAATGGCGGAAAAAAATGTGGGAAATACAAATGCTGGAAATGAAGAGCTTGTTTTTCTTGCAAATGCGATCAAGGAGGGTAGAAAAAGGCGACTTAAGATGCAGTTGGCATTAAACAACCTTGCTGCCAGGAGAAGACGAGTTTTGAATTTGGCTTGCCTTGTATTATTGCTTATTTCCCATAGGAACGTCACAGTTCCTCGTCCAGTTCATTCGTGTCGTCGGCTAAAAAGAAATTCTGGCTGGTGGGAAAATGTTTGCAACACCTATTCAGACGCAAGATTCAAAAAAACCTTCAGAGTATCTAGGGGGACATTTAAATTCATCCTGAGACGTATTGAACCCTTCCTTATTCGGCAAACTGTGACGGAAGAACCGATACCACCAGCGCTGAGGCTTGCTATTTGTCTGTATAGACTAAGCCGAGGAGATTATTTCTATACCATCGCCGAAATGTCTGGACTAGGCGTCTCCACAATTTCCTCAATTTGTCAGGAAGTCTGTCAAGTCTTGGTGGACCATTTATGGAACGAGAATGTGTCAAGTCGCATGCCCCAAACTGAAGAAGAGTTTAAACAAAAAATTCTCGACATGGAAGAATTCTGGCAATTTCCATGCTGTTGGACAGCATTGGATGGCTACCATATTGCTATGAAATGCCCGCCTGGAGGACTTCAGTCATGCAAAGAGTACCATAACTTTAAAAATTTCTATTCCATTGTACTGATGGCAATGGTAGACTCACATTACAGATTTGTGTGGGGTAGCTGCGGGTTTCCAGGAAATTCTCACGACGCAGTTATTTTTAGATCAACCGACCTTTGGACTCGTATCCAAGAAGGCCTCATTCCAGTAATTGGAAAAACTGTAGGAGATGTTACTGTTCCACCACTTGTAGTGGGGGACTCTGCATTCCCTCTACAAACATGGTTGATGAAACCATATACTAAAGCAATTCTGACCCCCAAGCAACGTTACTTTAATTACTGCTTAAGCAGAGCTCGCATGGTTACAGAGGGTGCTTATGGGCAGCTCAAGGGTAGGTGGAGGGTCCTACTCCGAAAGAGTGAAAGCAGTCAAGATAATGTCCGCATAACAACATTGGCATGTATGGTTCTCCACAATATATGCATTGCACGAGGAGATGCCATTTCAAAAAAGCTTGATTTGAGTTTGGATGCAGATGGTCAAAAGAGAAATCGTGAGGAAATAAGAAAACTGTTGCAGATGAGAAATTGTTCAAGCATCAGAGATGTGTCACTGGAGGCAAATAAAGTAAGGAATGCACTATGTGAAAAACTATGGCTTGAGAAGGAAACTGGCAAAGTCTGTTAATTCAGTACTGATACATTTACTATTTTCACCAAATTATTTCCATATGATTGTATCAAGTGCAAGATTTAATTAGCCTGCAGCGCAGACAAACTAAACAGCTGTTTTTTTTTTTTCGTTGTTGTTGTTGCTGTTTAATACATGTCTGGCTGCCTTGCAGGCTATACATTCAATCTGATCAGCAGCACTGACAGAGACACCACATGAAAGTCAGCCATGTTCAGTAAAAAAGAACTGTTAATGATAATACTAGGTTGTTTATAGTTAGATCTTGTGTTTTCCGTTGGTTATATTGTGGTAGAGCATATGTGGTCTATGTGCAGTGGAATTGATTTTGATGTTAATTTGATGGTGGCAATTTTGTTGTTATAAGTTATTTTGGGTCCCACATTTTAAGTATTGGAATAATTGGATAAACTTTGCATTATTCCCTTTATATGGGTGCCCACTAAGATCTTCAATTTTGGAGAAAAATGTTGAGCCACTTCACAAAAATTACTGCTTGTTGAGGGTACCAAAGGGAAAGTTTCATCCCCTCTTCGATTTCATTGTTGTCAAGATCAAATTTTTTCTTCACAGTGTCAATCCAGTCATAAAAAGGTTGTGAGAATTAAGGAAGTGATCAGCAAATAGACATCCCCTTGAATAATTAAAAATTCTCCCAACTAATACTAAAGGAAACAAAGAGACCAGTAAGGAGAACTTGTCCATTGACTATGCAGCTTAAATGGTAAATTGCTTTTAATTGCATTTATGTTCTGAAAGAACAATGAAAGATGACTTTCATAAATTTAATATTAATAGAAAAATAAAGTTTAAACATTCAATTTTTATGTACTGCAAATATTGTTGAAAAAAAAACATTCAACATATAATTATTTTACTTCTGATATACACACATTTTCCTTGTAGTTTATTCATGTTAAATAAAACTCCTTTGATTGTTATGTACATTTTGCAATTGCCCTACAGCAGATATACCGTCTTTTCTCAATTAAAAACCCCTGGCATTTACCTTTTTGAAACATTGTGGACCTAGGGTTTATTTGACCCCCGAAGCTCGCTTGAGCTCTTTATTCATGAAGTTCTGGTTATTTCTTCATAAATTTGTATGGCTTTATAATGGGGCACGGGTAACATTTGTACAGACATAAATTGTTACATTATATCTGCACCTTGTTTAACCTCTAATAGATACTTCAGGGGTTTATTTAAAACTCCACCTTGGAGACCAGGCATTTACTGAAAGCCCGGCATTTAATCAAAAAACTACGGTACTAAAAAATGTTACTGTATCATCATTTTGCAACATATTGAACTGAAACAAACGTACAAATAAATTTATCCATATTCAACCATTTTTTTTTAATTCAAAGTGTTCAAAAGAAATCTATTCTTGCAAAAAAGAACTTAAGTTAAAACCAGTAAGAATGCTGTCCAATGCAACACAATAAATAGACCTGAGAAGAACTGTGGTCAAAGTAATAGTTATGAGCACATTATAACTAATAAGCTCTATGTCTACAATGTCTGGTATTTTCCATTGCCATAAAGGAAAGGGTTCCCATAAGAACCTTCAGACATGCTTTCCTGGGTGGTTTGTTGTGGCCCTTGAGAACCCTGCAATGATGGGTAAAACCCTGCTTCATGACAGGGAAAGCCCTGATTCCATGATTGGTAAAACCCTGTTTCCATATTGGAGGATGGAGGCACCATACTGGATGATGGAGGCAAGCCTGAATTGGCTCTATGACCAAGCATGAGTTGAAATAACTTCAACTCATGCTCTCGGGACTTTTCCATTTCGTCTTTCAGAAAGCTGATCATCTCTTTTGTGGGGTCATTTCTGACAACTTCAGTGATGAGTTTCATCACTTGGGTGTTGTCAAGTTTATCTTTAGCAAATTTCTCCTTCTTTGCAGACCTTTTTGGTATATACAGGGCATCTTCGTCCCCAGCATTATCAGAAGGGTGGTCATCATGAGAACTTCCAGGGGTACATGGAGAGGACGATGATGATGGCTCTAAAGCACGTTCAGGCTGACAGGAATCCCTCGTTTTAACCACTGCAAACAAGGCATTGAACCAGCTTCCAAACCCATGGTCTTCCTGGTACCTCTTTATTCCTGTTGCAGTTTTCTGAGTTAGTGCAGCTTGTTTACACTGGCTGACACACTTTTTGAACTTGGTCCTCAGCTGGGCAATTGACATGTTGAACTTGTCACCTCTTGCTGATGCCCTGCCTTTCAGCTCATCCAAGATTTTGGCATAAATTGGACTATTTCTCTGATTCTTGGTGTTCGTAAAAATCAGTTTGGTTTTAAACTCATTGCTGTTAACAACAATGTCAATGAAATCATCAAGAACTTTCGGGCACCATCGAGGTCTTCGCCCAGGTCTTTTGCCCTTCCTGGCCTTTCCTTTCTTTACAAATAGTGACAAAGCTTTGTCCACATCTTCATTGTCATCACCCTCTTCACTTGTAACATCATCTTCATCCTCATTTGTGTCAATGTTTTTGCTATAGGACAAACATTCAAATCTAGATATTAGCTTCATCAGCTTATTATAATTATGTTTCATAACCTGGGTTGGTGAAAATTAGACAACCAAATTTTACTATTTGAAACTTCCTACAATCTCCGCAGAGGAAATTATGAATATAATGATGTTAACTGAAACGATCACATGTTTTTCTTTAAAAATGTCTTTTCTCATGACCTTTCAGTAAAAAAGTAAACAAAAAAAGTTTAGGACCGAGATATCCATGGCAAACCTTAGCATTTGCTTATTAGCTCAAACTGACCAAACAAGCAAATTTAATTTGAGTGTGTAGCCCGTTTAGAACAAAAGAAGGGACATTATCAATACTTAAGCTTACGTACTTTACTTAATTCACGTCCCCTCGGGGCTTTTCAGAGAAATAATATCAGAATGACCTGAGAAGCATACCTTTTCATAGCGGGCGGCTTTGTGGACTTAACATTCAAGCTTGACTCTTGGCTTTTCTGACCCACACTGGTCTCCTCGTGATCATTGCCTTCGGTTTCTTCAAGAATCATTTTCTCTCGAAAACATGACTCGCAGTACGCTACCGAACTGCCTGCTTTCCAACCCGCTACACTTTCATCATTTTCAAATACGGAACACCGCATACAAAAGTAATTCTTACACCTCAGACACGTATATTTCGTGTTCTCGAAGCAAGAGGAACACATATCTTCTGCTCTTCCCGCCAT